GCTGCTCTTCCTGGCAGCCAGGAAGGGGGAGAGTCTAGCCCTTGGAAACTCTACTTCCCGCCCACCGATTGCCATGGTCAGGGACAGGGTCAGAGGGAAAGTGCTGACCTAGGGCCGCGTGAGGCACTGCTCTAGCACAAGATGCCAAATCATCGTAAAGAGAGAAGGCAACGTCATAGTTGGGAAGAAGTTTAGAAGGCCCTGGCCGGGTAGCTTAGTTGGTTAGAGCATGTTTCATACACCAAAAGGTTGCAGGTTCAATTCCCAGTCAGGGCATATACCTAAGTTCATGTTCGAACCCTGGCCGGAGCACATATGGGAAGCAGCCAATTGATGTTTCTCTCTTCTATTCTGTTCTCTTCTCTTCACTCTACCCTGCTCCCCCCCACCCCATATCCTCAAGTGAGGATTAAAAAAAGACATGAAGCCGGCACCAGTTTGGCTCAGTGGATAGAGTGTCGGCCTGTGGACTCCAGAGTCCCAGGTTCCATTCCAGTCAAGGGCATGGACCTTGGTTGCAGGCACATCCCCAGTGGGGGGATGTGCAGGAGGCAGCTGATCGATGTTTCTCTCTCATGGATGTTTCTAACTCTCTATCCCTCTTTTTTCCTCTCTGTAAAATAATAATAATAATAATAATAATAATAATAATAATAATTAAGAGACCAAAATGGAGAATGAGTCAGGAAACCAAAAGCCAAGAAATTGGGATGGATTCAGCCAGGTGCTTCAGGCTAAGACCATGACTAATGCAAGGTGTGGGGGCAGCCTTGGGAGGCAGGAGCAGGCCTGACAGCACAACATGCATGGCTAGTGCTCATGGCTACTCAGGATGACTGCTGTCATGGACCAAATTGACTCCACTGCCTAGACCCTTGTGTTCACCTGTATTTTCTCCTTGTGACATGGTCAGCTCCAGGCCTGGGATGAGGGCTTCTCCCTCCCACACATCAACCCACCTTTCAGAGTTTGTCAAGCACCTCTGCTGCCCCAGCAAGGAAAGAACAATGCAAGGTTTGAGACACTGGCCCTGCCTGCAAGGTATTTGCAAGCTGGATGGCAGGGAGAGCTTGTGCTCACTGTGAAGAGCTCTGGGAAAAGACTAAGATGATTTCCATCTCCTTTCCTTCCTCAGCCGTTAAGTGACTATGGGCAAATTACTTACTCTCCCTGTGCCTCCATTTTTCTCATCTTCAAAATGGGAATAATTAAAAATGTTTGTTGGGAGAATTCATTAGGCATGACGTGTTTAAAGCACCAGGCCACATACTAAGTGCTCAATAAATATTACTTATTTATTTACATAAAATATAAAACAACAAATGATTGTGATGGTACACAGTTAAATGCTGAGTTCTGAACAGACTTGGCCAGTAGATCTACTCAGCACCTGAGTCTACTCAAAAGCTTCGAGGACAGCCGAAACCGGTTTGGCTCAGTAATAGGGCGTCGGTCTACGGACTGAAAGGTCCCAGGTTCGATTCTGGTCAAGGGCATGTACATTGGTTGCTGGCACATTCCCAGTAAGGGGTGTGCAAGAGGCAGCTGGTTGATGTTTCTCTCTCATCGACGTTTCTAGCTCTCTAGCTCTCTCCCTTCCTCCTCTCTGTAAAATATCAATAAAATATATTTTTTAAAAATGTTAAAAAAAAAAAAAAAGCTTCGAGGACAGCTGAGGACTGATGGCCTGGATGCTGATGCTGATGGTGGGAATATGTGTGTGTGCGCACATGTGTGTGTGTGTGTGTGTGTGTGTGCACCTGCAAATCCCCCAGCCTTTCTCTCCTCTGCAGTTGGCAGAAGCATGAGATTATTTTGTTTTGTTTCACGATGACGACTCTGCTCTGTAACTACCGTGTTTTTATATCTCTAATTAGAATCAAACGTTTATTGGAAATCATGCCTGACGACGACCATTTCCTGCACCCCGGTGCTCTCGCAGTCCTCACCTATGAGGTAAGAACTATTATTGTTCTCACTTTAGATGGAGACAGCAGGGCTCTGAGAAATAAAGGAAGTTACTCGAGGTTATAGGGCTGGAGCCACCTGCACGTGTGCCCCAAACCGGATGTGAGCAAGAGGAAACTTCTGGTGAACCCATGGACAGTTGGTTTCTACCACCGACCCTACCCAATTCATCTCAAGCCCACGAAGCCATGTTTAGAAAGAGGGGATGGTCCTCAGACAAACAACAATGACACACACTTGTGGGAGAGGCAGACACTGCCCAGACACTCCAGAGTGTAAAAGAGAGAGCTGTGGCCACCTGTACCTGCCACCTCTCATTCACGTAAACTTCCAGGGAACCTCCGTCCTGCATGCCCAGCACCTGGGACAGTGTCAATGAAGGATGGGAGCAGTCATCTCAGGTGGAAACTGCTATTTAGGTTCTGTACCTATTTGTTTGCTAAAACAATAGAAAGTTATTTTGATTTTCTGAACTTATGTAGGCTATCCCAATACTCCATTGATGATGGTTTGACTAGCCCATTGATTGTGATCTCACTGGTCACCAGAGAACATTCTTGTGGGAATCAGGACAGCTCAATTATCGTAAAATTATCTCAGTACCAACTGATAACGAGTTTTGGTTGACTCAGTGGTCTTGTACCCTAAACTGCCTCAGTAGCTACAGATAACGAGTTTCGGTTGACTCAGTGGTCCCGGGATTTGCACAGCACAATTATTCTAAATTGCCCCCGTGGTCCCAGATAATGTGTTTCTGTCGATTCAGTGATTCGTAGACACTTTACGTAGATACTTTAGATAACTAAGTTGCTCAATTTCACTTCTGTAAAAATGCTTTTCTCAAAACAGGTTCCTCATTCCAGACCCAAAGTCGTAATCGATACCTTTGTGATATCCTGCCAATACAAGCCAGATGTGGCAAGCTGTTCGGGGCTCCGAGGTCTGCAGTGCTTTTGCTCCCTCATACGCTGCTGGCTTTTAATAAATAATTAAAATTTGACTTTTTGAAGCATCCTTTGTAAGATGGGCTTACCCTACAACATCTGGAGCATACTAGGGCTGAAACAATATCTGTCGCTTGAAAAAAATGAATGAATCAGTTCAAACACACAAATATACAAACATACACAGCCCTATCCATACACAGTTATAGGCAAATATGCCCCATAAACAAATGCTCAAAACACTCAGTTATAGACAAGCATATACAATAGATACTTCAGTACACAAATGCAAATAGAAAACCAAGACACGTATGAACACATGCATATGTATGCACAGATATTATGGACATACATGTATGGCCCAGATATGCACAAATACATATCTATTCATCCCCATTCACATATACAGTGATTCCCAGACACCCTCCCTCCATCATGACCCCAGACCCGGAAAGGAGTCTGTGTGTCCTCGCATGTTGGAGCTTGTCAGAAAGTTCCTTCCAGTTCTCACTTAGCTGACAGGTAACTGGCTTCGGGTTTGGGGTTGGCCAGGCAAGGAGACGGCATCTCAGGCAGCCTCTCGTGGGTGGGCAGGCAGGCGGCGGACGCAGAGGTCACCGGGGTGCAGGCTGGGGCTGCCCTGGCCTTTTTGCTTCTGGCTGGAATGTAGGGGCCGCCTCCCTGGCCTCCCTCCTTTCCCTCAGCCATCACCAGCTCCAGGCCTGGACCAACCCATGACCCTAGATTCTGCCAGGTTCTTGCAGCCAGGGTGCTGTGCACCGAGGGTGGTGGGGATGAGCAAGTGAGCACCATGAGAGGGCACACACAGATGCACAATCACACACTGAAGTTGGTACAAATAGTCACACACAGAGCAAGGCATACAAAGACAAAGGAAGACATGCACATTCATAGCCCTACTGAAATGCACATCCCGACACCCTCCCAAACACACCTAGGGACATAGCAGACACACACACACACACACACACACACAGTCACAGAGCTACCAAGGGACCAGATCCACACACAAGTGACAGTTGTACATACAGCGGACACACGCAGATACTCAGACCCCACAGAGTCTCATAGTGCAGGTGGGTCCTAAATGGCCCCCACACACGAGCACAGACACATGCACACACAAGCACATGAAGACCCTGCGGGCAGACCCCTGCCAGTGGAAGCAGCACCCCCTCCTGGGACCAGGCAGAAAGGCTGCACCAGGCCACACGCCGCTCTGCCTGTGGTGGGTGGGCTCGCAGGGAGGGCCTGAGGACACTGGACGCCTGGCCAGGAGGAAGCTGCACAGGGCAGACAGGCAGCTCTGGAGCCAGGGGGCTTGGGGTTTGTCTCTGTCAGTGACACACGCGCCCGCTCGTGGAGTGCTTATGTATGCACAACATATACATGCACCGGGGGCACTCTTTCACCCCCGAGGACTGTGGGGATGGCATCAGGTGGCACTGGAAATGAAGGGCCAGGCCAAGTTGCCGCCTTCCTAGCGGTGCCGCCAACGTGGGGCTGCACAGCGCGATGCCCCGACGCAAAGCCGCCAGCCTAGGAGCTGAGAGCCCCGTTCGGCGGGCACCGGCTCCGGCCGCCCCGGGGTGAACCAGGGGCTGGGCTCCCGGGGGAAGGGAGCCGGAAGGGGAGGGGGGCGAGCGCCCCTTCCACGCACGGCGCTGCGGGACCAGCGCGCTCAGACCGCCGCGGGCGCCGGGCTCGGCCGCTCCCAGAGCCCGGTCCGCGGTGGGCGGGGCGGGCCCAGAGCCCCGCCCATTCGCAGCGCCCGAAGCCCAGTCGCCGACCAGCTCCAGTCCATAAAAGCTGCTGTCTGAGCTGGAAGCGGCATCCTCACTGGCCCGTGGGATCGCACCGAGAGCCCGACGGACCTTCCCTGGCCGCCTGCCTGCCTGCCCACCGCGCCGAGCGCTGCGCATCAGGCTCCCCGGCCACAGACTTCCTACCTGAGAGCTCCCGCCGCTAGCCCACTAGCGGGCAGTAGTGAGAGGACCAGCCAGCCTGCGAACCAGAGACTCCCCCAGGGAGGTGAGCATGATGATTTTCCTCGGGACGTCTGAGAAGATGCCGACCATGAGGCTGTTCACTTGCTTCCTGCACCTCCTGGCCGGGCTGACGCTGCCTGCTGTGTCTTCCCAGGTAAGACCCACCCTCACACCCCAGCCTGGCCGCCCCTGAGCTCCTCCGCCCCAGCACTGAAAGCCGGGGGGGGCCTCCGAAACCACAGACCCGCTCCCTGCAGCGGCACCTCCAAGGATGTGCACACATTTCCCAGGAGGCAGGCTGGACCACGTTGTCTGGGAGGAGACCTCAGAGGCGGCTGGGCTGCCCCAGCTCCGGCTCTGGGGTCCGTCGTGGTGGGGGCAGGGAAGCCGCAGGGACGGGAGGGAGGCTTCCTGTCTGGCCCCTGGAGCCACCATGGCTTTGCTAAAAGCATCTCTCCGCTAATCCCAGGCCGGTCCCTGACCTTGTGGTCAGGGTCGAGGCCTGGGACCAGGCAGGCGCCCTCAGGACCTCTGACCTGGTCTGGCGGAGGGGGAAGCCGGCAGAAGAAGCCATCGGTGGGGAGGCTGGGGCCTGCCCGGGGCTGAGCGCAGGACTCCGGGGAGGGCTGCGGGCAAGACACGAGGTCCCGCATACCGGCTCTCCCGGGTGGGCAGCCGGAGGTCCCACGTGCAGGGCCTGGGGAAGTGAGCAGGGCCCTTTTCCCAGGAGCCGGGGGAGTCTGGCCAGGAGCCAGCTTGGGCAGGGAAGTCCTGACAAAGCCAATGAGCCGCCTTCCCACTGCGCTATCTATGCCGCTGCTGCCCCAGCCCCGGAGTGGGTGGGCTAGACAGACCCTGGGGCAGAAAAGCCCCACAGGCCGCCAGCCTCCCGCTGCTGCAGGGCCGGCCAGAGGTGTAACGTTACCGGCACACCAGCTCATGGCGCCACCGCCCCAGCCCCTCAGCTCCCACCAGCTGATCACCTCTGCTGGCTCTGGCACCCAGCCAGAGCAGGCGGCATAGGGCCCGGCAGGGTGGCCAGGGGGCTGGGCAGGAGGAAGACCCCGAAGAACTGCAAGATCTTGGAGACACAGAAAGCAAAGTGCTCCCAAAGCGAGCCAGACTCCTACACTTTTCTAATGAGGAAACTGAGGCCAGAGTGAGGGCTGGGACCCACTGGGACCCACCAAGCATCCAGTGAGGTTTTCGCTGGACATGGGAAGAGAGACAGCGCTGAGACGGGGCAGAGGGTGTGTGCAGTGGGTGGGAAGGAGCTCTCGCCGGCACACTCGGCCCCAGAGCACACAGCCCGTGACGGCCCCCTCATCTCTGCACCTTTCTGTCCGCAGCCACTGGATCTGTCTGCCGGGAACAGCTCGTCGGAGACGAAAGGTAAGCAGACTGGGCTGGTGTGTGTGCTCACCACGCCCTCTCCTTTCACGCCTCTGCAGAGGGTGGGCAGGGACTGGCCTGGAGGGTGGGTGCAGGATGATATTATTAAGTTGGGGTAAGTCTGCAAGCTGGCTGATGCCCGGGCTGACAAAGGTGGCAGAGGTTGAGAACCCCCCCCCCCTCACCCCCGCAGTGTGACCCAGAGGCCTGGAGAGGTGTATCCCTGGGCCGGGATCACCCAGAGAGCAAAGCTGGGGCCTGGAGCCCAGGGTTGGCCTGGCGGGTCCAGAGCCCCCTTGCAGCATGCCGCCGGGGCTGCAGAGGAGGTCTTGGAGGGCAGCGAGGGCCGTGAGTGCCAGGGGCTAGGCCGGTGGTCTGGGAGCCGGGCACAGTGGGCAAGCGATCAAGAGAAGCAGGAGGGGAGAAGGGACCTTCCCAGCAGCCAGCCCTTCCCAGCAGCCAGGCCTTTTCATTGATTACAAACAGACAGAGCGTGAGTCGCGCCCTCCCCGGCCCCTCCACTCTCCGCCCAGGGTTGCATCAGGAGGGAATCTTCAAAGGGCGAGACGGTTGCCAAAGAGACATACGTGCAGGAGGCGGGAGGCTCCTGCCAGGCCCCCCGCCTCGCTCCTCCCTCTCGGCCTCTCCAAGACGTGCGCGCGGCCACACGTGCTTCCCGCCGCTCCGTGGGAGTGCGTGGTGTGTAGGGACGTGCGCACACACATGCATGACAGCCCACGTGGGCTGGGAACACCCTCTCGCTGCTGCCTGCCTGTCTGGTAGCCAGCTCCTCCGGGGCCCGAACCCCAGGTCCTGAGCAGTGGGTGGGGGAAGCAGCAGTTCTTGGCTTCATGGATGCTCTCTCTCCCCTTGCTGTGCCCTCTGAGTCTGGCACGATGTTATGCTCGTTTAGGTTTGGGGAGGGACCCATCCCCGCCTCCACCTCCTATCCTCCTCCATGCTTTCGGCGGGTTTCCGGCAATAGCTCGAGCCTCGGTTTCCTCATCTGTAAATAGGAGCAGAAGGCTACATCATCGCGAAGGCTTCCTCTAAGTGTGTAGGACTCTCTGACTCCATGGAGGGAACTCGGGAGTATACATTTTCCAGGGGCGAGGGGGAGGTGGCTTGGAAGTGTCAGTTCCTTAGGGCAGCTAACCTGCCACCCTCACCCGTCAGGAGGCCTGCTTTGTGGCCGTGGGCAGTCCCAGGAGATTTGGACCCCGGTTATCAAAATCTGAAATTGTCATCCCCTCCTGCTAGCCCCGGACAAGAGACAGCGTGGTCTGTTCTTTGCAGCCATGGGTGCTGGTTTTTACTGCCACGACCGTGTAAGGGTTTGGGGCATTTGCTGTAGCTCTGTGCTGGTCACAGGCTGTGAGCCAGGAAGGCGCGCGCTTGTATTCTCCCGGTTTTATGGATGGAGGCGCTGAGGCTCACAGAGGCCCTTGGGGTTGCCTGAAGCCCTGGACACTCCTCGGCATCCACGGCTTGTGGCTGAGCGGGCACGGGCAGCGTGTCCCTCGCAGCGGGCTGGCTGTGTGCCCCACCGTGGCGATGAGGAGGACACCTGCGGGCTTGGGCCGTGGCCAGCAGCCCTGCCCAGCCCCGCGGCCTCCCCAGGAGCTTGCTCTCAGGATCAGACAGTTCCCTTCCTGTGTCTCCTCCGTCCTGGGGGGTAGGCAGCTGGAACCACGTAGGAGGCTCACCCACAGGGCTGTCCAGAACCCACTCGTGGCCCTGGGAACAGCCTTCGCTGCACGGCCTCGCCCTGGCCTGGCCCTTCATTGGGCGACAGCCTCCCGCTCTTCCCACCCCTACCCCGGCCTCTGGGCCCGGAGCAGCTGAGCAGAGCTCTTTCCCGAGGGCTCAGCCCACATCTGGGAGCGGTCACGACTTTCTCATCTGGCCCCTACCCCGGCCGGCGCCCTTTGTTTCCCTGCACCCCCGTGCAGCGGCCTCCAGGAACGGGGTGCCCTCTTTCCTGGGGGACGCCAGGCCCCGCTCACCTCCTCGGCCTTGCCCCAGTGCCATCCGGCCACGCGGTCCAGAAAGAGGCGGGTTCCAGGGCCCTGCAGCCTGGGCCCCGGCGATGCAGGCTGTGTGGTGGGGCGTGGGGGTGAGGAAAGGAAATCCCTTCTTTTGCTGCCAAGGCTCAGCTGGCTCTGCTTAACCTGGCTGTGGCCCCAACAGCCCAGCTGGATGGGAATCTGTTTGCAGACTCGTAGGGGGCTGGGATACCCCTGCTTTGCCGCTGTCCCCTCCCTCATGGCTGCTCCCGGGGGCGGATCCTGAGCCGTCCTCCACGGCCCTCTGTCAGCTGGCTGGTCTCCGCCGTTATTTATGTTTGCCGAGGTGGAGATTAAACGCCCCGCGCTGCACAGCCTCGCGAAGAGCGTAGACTGAAACAGGCGTTCACGGAGCTGTGATAGGGAGGTGCCCCTCGGACCTTGCACGGCAGAGGCCGGCTTCCCGGGGGCTTCGGGGCTGCTTATGGGAAGAGGGGCTTGTTTCCCACGTGGGGGTCCAGGGAGAGTCCCCCATGGGCCTGGAGAGGCAGGAGAGGCAGGGGAGGCACTGGTCTCTCCCCCATGCCCGGGCCCAGCCCCAGTGCCCACTCCGCACACAAAGCAGAACGGAGCAGCAGACACCCAGATAAGCGTGGTTTTATTGCTCTGTGGTCTCCTAGGCCGGCTCCACGTGGACACGCTGTCTCTTGGGTATTTCCCACCAGCTCGCAGCCTTTCCCCAGGGCCTCTGTGAGGGCTGAAGTTTATTTTCCCCTGAGGCTCACATCCTGGTAGGCTCCATGGGGTGGACTTTGGCCCCTTCTGCCTCCTGGAAAGGAGGTGAGGGGCTGCTGGGAGAACCATGGCTCTGGGGCAGGAGCGGCCGGGCCTCCGGGTGACCCAGATCCCATGCCCTCTGCCACCGGCGGAGGACAGCCATCGTGTGTAGGGCAGCATGACCCAGGGCCGGAGATGTTTCTCTGCCCACGGTCTCAAGGCTGGACGGGGTTGTGTGCCCAGAGTCACAGACTGTCTGTCAGAGCCGGGAGAGACCTTAGCAACCCTCTATTCCAAACCTGCTTCTTTTCTCCCCCTCCCCCGACGAGGAAACTGATACCCCCAGAAAGGTGACGTGACCTCCCCAAGGTCACGCAGTCAGTGTAGGGCCAGGAGTAGACACTCGGCCTCCTGCTTCTGCCTACTCACTTCCTGTGAGCCTCGCTCTTGGGGGCCAGGCCCAGGCCTTCCCCTGAAGGAGTAGCGTATTTTGAGAGATTCCAGGTTGGCCCCCAAAAACTCTTGTTCATGACCACAGGACATCCTGGGGGTCAGGGGTGGGGGTGGGGGGTGTCCCCGATATTGTTCAGTGAATAATCATCTGATCAATAAGTTATTATTTATCCCTGTGTTTACTGGATGCTAGGGAGGGTCCCTGTCCTCAAAGAGCCTCGACTTGCTCGGAGAAGAGATAAGAGCCCCAGTGATTGAGATAAGGCCAGCCCCTGGGGCCTAGCTGTACTCCAAGGAGGAACATCTGTTCACACTGGGAAAGTTGGAGAGAGCGTTGGCGAGGCCAGGAGGCTGGGAGTCAGGGAGGCGGGCTTTGAAAAACGGGTGGTACGCTGTATTTGGTTGGCAATGAGAAGTGGGGGAGGAACATAGCCCAAAGGTGGGAGCGACGGGGACTTGGCCCAGTTTGGTTCAAGGGCTGGCCCAGGTGAAATGAGGATTGGGGATGGAGCGTGTTGCTGGCTGCAGGCGTGGCTGCCTGGCAAAGGCGCTGGCCCAGCCTGGGGCAGGAAACAAAGACGAGGGCGAACTCTGCAAGCCAGGCTCACGGGAGGTACAGAAAGGTTTTCTGCAAAGTCCCGAGGACCCGGAAGCAGCAGAGCGGGCCTGAGAAAGGCCCACTGGGCCTGGGGGAGCAGCCAGGGGGCGCTCGTCGGAGCTCCCAGAACCCTAAGGCAGGTGTGGGTGCCTCAGTGAGAACGCAGGGGAGCGCTGGGTACACTGAGAGATTCTACCAGACCCTCTAACGGTCCAGCAGTCTCCCCGGAGGGATTGCATCAGTTCAGAGCAGAGGGGGCTCAGAAAGGCTGAGGGCTTCCTGGAGGAGGAGGTGTGGGCTGAACCCGGAGGGCTCTGCCAGGCCGAAGGAGCCAGGATGGGGGCATTGAGGAGCAGCGGCGCCTGACCTGACCAGCCCACTGTGCCCTCTTGCAGTGATGCCCTTCCAGGAAGTGTGGAACCGCAGCTACTGCCAGGCAAAGGAGGAGCTGGTGAACATCTTATCGGAGTACCCCGACGAGGTGGCATACATATTCAAGCCGCCCTGTGTCCCCTTGCTGCGCTGCGCGGGCTGCTGTGGGGACGAGGCTCTGCACTGTGTGCCAGTGGAGACGGCCAACGTCACCATGCAGGTAGGGAGGGTCTCCTCTCGTCCAGCTCGGCCCCTCGTCCACACCCTATGCAGCGGTCCGCCCCGCCTGCCTGCCAGAAGGGACCTGGAGGGGGAAGGAAGGCGGATGGAGGTCACAGGACTGCAGCCGACTCTCCGGCCCATGTCCTTTCCACCCAGCACAGCGGCCCTCCTTCCTGAGCCTGCAGCCCAACTGTGGCCCCCTCACCGCCTCCCTTATCAGCTGTCCCGGGCTCTGGCTTAGGGGATGGAAGAGATTTGAATCTGCTCAGACTCAAGAAATCCCTGTTTATACACAGGAGTGCTTAGTGCCCTGAATCTTACACACACACACACACACACACACACACACACATACATGCACGCGCGCACACAATGGTTTGTGGAACACTTGCTGAGTGGTGCCAAGCACTGTGCTAGGCCCTTCACTGCCTCAGCATTCAGCCTTCAAGGCAAGTCTTATTCCCATTTTACAGATGAGACACGTGAGGTTCATCCCTCGCTCAGCAGGGAGGAGAGTCGCGACTCCAACATGTGTCTCTGACTCCAGCACGTGGGCCCCTTGCTCCACGGTTGCTATGCTGGTGGCCTCCTCCCTCAGACCCACATGCTGAGGGAGGGCTGTTTGCCCCACACCTCGAAGCAGAAGGAGGGCATGTAGTCCAAAGGGTGGTGGGGGGAAAACACAGAGTCTGGTCCTCCCCCCCACGGAGGGTGTGGAAATTGTTGGAAACCTGCGTGCCCCAATCCCCCAACCCAGACATCCCACCTTTCTTTCTCACAGGTCCTGAGGATCAGCCTTGGGCAGCCGCCCGCCTACGTGGAGATGACATTCACTCAGCACACAAACTGCACGTGCGAGTAAGTCCTCCGGGGATGGCGGGCACAGGCCTAGCCCCACACGAGGCATTTGAACGTGTTTTCTCATCCAGTGTTCCAATGTTCTCATTCCCATTCGAATGAGAATTAATCGAGCACCTACTGTATGCCAGGCTCTGTCTTGCATGGAGGGGTGAGCAAAACAGACAAGGTCCCTGCTCTCAGAACAACCCTGGGAAGTCGGAACGATCATCAGCTCCATTTCAGTGAAGAGGAAGCTGAGGCTTGGTGTGGTTCCATGATTCGCTACCATTTAGGAGTGATCGCTAGCCTAGCCAACACCTAAGCCTCCCTCCTTCATGCTACCTCTCCCTGGCCATTCTTCAGGAGTCCCCGCACTGCTCAGTGTCCAGGGCTCTGGCTGCCACTCTTGGACCCGAGCCCAGCCTCTAGGCCAGTGGTGCTCAGCCTTCCTAATGCCGCGACCCTTTAATACAGCTCCTCATGTGGTGGTGACCCCCAACCATAAAATTATTTTCGGTGCTACTTCCTAGCAGTAATTTTGCTACTGTGAATGAACTGTAATATAAATATTTGTGTTTTCCAGTGGTCTTAGGTGACTCCGTTGGGGCAGGCAGGCGAGGCACTGGGGCTCCATGAGCATTTCTGCCGTGCCCAGGATGGCATAGACATGACCAGGCAGTCCAAGAGGCCCTGGTACCCTGCCCTGGCTCCCCAGGGAAACAGCCAGCCGAGGGCAACATTCCCTGGCCATGCTGCCTCCCAGGGAAGACCGAGGCCCTGTCCCCTTCCAACAGGCTGGCCAACAGGGACACCTTTCTTCTCACTTCTGGGCCAACAGCCACAGCTCCGGAGGCAGAGCCAGGATCTGCCTGGTGACTGGGGGCTGTGATTACCTCCCCTGCCTCCGCCCATCACCCGCTCCTCCTGCTGCTGCCCGTAGCATCACATCCCTGGAGCGAGGTGGCAGGTGTGCCTTGACAGGCAGCCTTAGCTGGCAGCAGCCACCCTCCTCTCCTGGCCTCACTCGCTCTTCCTGAGGAAACTGGGTGCACCCTGGAACGAAGAGCAGGAACAAGAGAAATCGTAAACAGAGAAGGCAGGAAAGGACAAGCTTACAAATCCCCAGATTTGATGTTAAGAGACTGGGAAGTGCAGAAGGTTATGGAAAGGGGCCCCGAGGGAAAATGGTCTGTCTCTCTCTCCCTCCCTCCCTCTCTCTCTCTCTCTCTCAGGGGTCACAGGTGTCTAGAGTGGGAGCTGAAAGCCTCTGGCCATCTCTTCCTCACTAGCTCCATGCTACCCCCTAGTGGTCTCAGTGCCAACTGCAGGACAGGACTGCGAAGGTCTGAGGGGAGGGAGGTGTGTGGGTGACAGGCAGCCCACGCTTACCACTCTCCTGATTCTCCCCTGCCCTCTGTTTTCCCAGGCCTAGGCCAGAGGTAATGCAGACAACAGTGAAGCCAGAAGGGTAAGTGGCCTGCCTGGGGCTCCAGACTGTTCTTGGGCCTGCCAGCCCTGTCCTACCATGATAAGCTCTCAGCCACTGTCCTGACGCTTTTGGCTTTTTGCAGGAGGAAACCCAGGAACAGTGAGAAGAGGAAGAAAGAGAAGCAGAGACCCACGAACTGACACCTGTAAGTGTGCTGGGGGCCTCCAGGATGACAAGGAGGCTGAGGCAGAGGGGAGCCCCCACCAGGAGGGGTTCACGCTGGGGAAGGGGAGAGCAAGGCCCAGAGCAGTCTTGGGGGCCCGACCAGGGAGGTGCATTTTTAGAGGCCTTAGGGGGCCTTAGGTCTCGTCCTGGCTCAGCATGAGTCTCTGTGTGGCTTGAGCAAGTCGTGTCAGCGCTCTGCGCCTAGTGTTTCTTTCTGTGTAAAAGGAGGCCTCAGGGGCCCACCTAGCATTTAGTCATTCTAGAAACAGTTATCAAGAACTTGACTGTCTGCCAGGTAGACCAGCAAACAAACCAACAAGATTCTTGCCCTTAAGTGCTTACTTTCTGGGGATGAAAAGTCCAGCAGCTGGCAACATAGCCAGGGCTATTTCCCAGAGGCCTCAGGGAGCAGCATCTGCCCACTGGCTCTCACACCCTGTGTTTCTGTCCCTCCCCCACCCCCCGGGGGGCCTCGGGTCTATTCGCTTCCATTTCCCTCCCAGTGTGACCTGTCCACCTTGGCTTCACACCTGGAGACCCAGGGTGGAGTCCAGGCCTCAGTGGAGTGTAGGCCAGAGAAGGACTAGAGAAGGGAAACTCAAATATGTGAGTAAATAGTAAAAATACAATATTTAACATCTACTTAGTCACAGGACAGCTCCTTTCAGCTACTTCTCAGGACATATAAGCTGACAATTCGGTTGAGTTGCTCTTTAATTTGTTGAAAGCGAAGACTTGGAAACCATCTGACTTGCAAAAGGCTTGGTCACCCAGTTATTTGTCATTCTCTCTCTCTCTCTCTCTCTCTCTCTCTCTCTCTCTCTCTCTCTCTCTCTCTCTCTCTGTTTCTCTCTTCCATATTTCCTTTTTCAACACTTACAGCTTAAGTTGTTCTTTGTTCAGTGTTTGGCCTTGGGCCAAAGCATTGTCCCGGCACAGGAATGGGCAGGACTGCCAGGCAGAAAGGTATTTAGTGGTGAACGCTCAGGGTGATGGGGAAGCAGCCCTCTAAGGCAGGCAGGCAGGCAGTTTTAAGGTGGAGAACTGGAAATAGATTCCCTTAAAATCATACTCATATGAATCTTGGACAGTTTTCATGTACATCTACGGATACCCGCACCCTGGTCTGGAGACTGCTGCCTTAGAGCAATCAGAGGTATTAGCGTAGGGAGCCAGCCTGGGTTCAGGTCCCTGACCAGCTGTGTGACCTTGGGCGAGTCTCTTAACCTCTTTGAGCCTCTGTTTCTCATCTGCAAAAGAATGATTATAGCAGTGCCTTCCTCGTGAGCTATCGTGAAGGGTAGATGAGAAGGCGCTTAGCGCAGGGCTGAGCGGCTGGAGACGTGCTTGGTGCGGAGTAGCTCCCAGCTTCTCTCTGGCCTTGGTGCAAGCAGAGATCCAGGCATGCTGCAGTCTCCCTGTGCTCCCTGCCCCGGCTTCCCCCTGGGGTTGTCCCCGCTGCTCCCGTAGGAGGGACCCCACCCTCCGCAGCGTGCTGACACCGGCTCTCTGTGTTTGGTCTTGACAGGTGAGCTGATACTTCTCCCCCCACGATGACCAGCCCCTCGGAGGAGAGAGACTCCATACCCGGCTCCTGTATTTATTACCGTCACACACTCAGTTACCTCCTTACTGGCACCTGCCGTCTATTTATTAGCCAATCGTATCCCTGCTGAATGACTCTCTCCCTCCAAGATGAGGGGCATGGAAGGATATGACCCTCAGGAATTCAGTGCCTTACGCAGAACGTGAGAGAAAGAAGACAGCCACGGCCCGTGTGTGCTTCAGCTCGGGAAGAAGCAAGATGTGACTTTGCGAGGGCCACGCCGGGCTCCAGAGGCCCGAGGGCTCCCCACGGGGCTGGAGAAGGAAGAAGAGAAGAGGAAGAACCCACCACCTGCCCCTGGACTTTGGGCTTTGCATGCACCAGCCGCCCTTTGGGAGCCCCGGCGAGGATGCGGGCTGAGGAGCTTGCTCTGGCCAGGCAGGGGGTGAGGGGCCCCGTGGCTTCCTCCTCCTCCTGGCAGCGGCTCTGACCCCGGAGAGCGGAACACTCAGCTCTGGAGAACAGCCGTCGCCCGGGGCCTTGGCCACTCCTCATCCCCTACTACGGCTTCTCCTCGCATCTTGCCACAGCTTGTCCCAGGACATTGTTCTTTGTGGCCAAGGAAGGCTTCACCATCCTGCCCCGCTCAGGGACACAGGCCACGAGCGGGCCCAGGCCGGGCATGGAGCACACTACCTGCCTGGCTGTCTGGCTGTCAAGCCGTTTTCTCTTGAATAAAGTTATTCTAGTCTGAAAACCTCTGCCTCTGGGAGTGTCTGTTGGAGCTGCGAGCAGCAGAAGGTGGAAGCGGGACAGAAAAGGGATCGCGGGCCCTCGGCTGCCCCCTGGTGGCGCCAGCCTCCTGCAGCTTCCGGGGGGGGGGGGGGGGGTGTGCCTTCTCCCCAATTGCTGTCGGCAGGAACCCTGCAGTCCACTCTTCCTATTAAGAAGGATTTCCGATATTTAATCTCTGCCCCAAAGTTGGGGGAACTTGGACCCCGTATCCCATGAACACCCTCTAATGCAAGAGCACAGTCCCCTCCAACTTCCCCAGGGTCACCCCATACCTGGCCCAGTGTCTGGCCCTCCGGACCCTGAGTGAATGGGGGTTCCTCAGGTCCTGCCCCCCATCTCCAGCCTGCTCAGGCTATCGAGTGCAGGGGTCCGCGGATGCTGCCCGATTCCCTCTCTCTTTACCTACCACCCGCCTCTGCCTTCCTCCTGAAGGCCTTGGCATGAAATGAGAAAGAGTGCTTTTTAAATTTTTTTCAGTCCAAACCACATATTGTCAGGCCCCATCTACCTCTGGTCCGAAAGGGGTGTAGTTTTATGGTTGTCAGTATTGTGGGAAGGAGAGTTCCCCGCTCCCTGCAGGCTGCTCAGGACAAACCCACAGGGTCCGGGGCAGGCTCGCCCGGGGCTTTGGAGGGAAGCCCTGGACGGTCCAGTGGGTGGGGTGGGTTGGCCCTGCTGAGGCAGCTGGCCTTGGCAGTCCGTTCACCGAGGCCTGGGCCCCCTGGAGGACACTCTGGTCAGAATGTGTTCTGGCTGGTGATCACAGAGGGGGTGTGGGCCAGCCCCAGGGCAAATCCTCTGCAGAAGAACTGCACTTTCTCTCCAGCTTCTCTCCCTTTGGGCTGAGGCCATGCTGAGCCATTGCCTTGGATGGACTAAGAGCTGAGAAAAGCAGCCTCTTTCCCTCGGCCAGCCCTGGATTGGCCACGGGGACCCCAGCTCAGTCCCAGGAGCACCTCCAAGACTCTCAGCTTCTCGAATCACCCACATGGAGGTCAGTCTTCCTCCGCGGCCATAGAGCCCTCTAGAGAACTAGACAGAGACGGGGAACTCTCGGAGGCCAGAAGCAAAAAGCTGACCCCTGCCCAGAGCAGTGGGGATGGGTAGGAAAGGAACTGACAGGTCCGTTTGGCCACCTGGGCAGTCGTTCTGATCTGCAGGGCCCTTTTCATTTGCTCATTAATTATTCATGGAGCGCCACCTGTGTACCTGCCACTGTCCCAGACACCACGGACCCGGAGGGGAATAAGGCACACAAGGATCTGCTCTCCTGTGTCTGAGAGGACAGACAGACTATAATCGTGTGTTACAGGACTTTACTGTTGCTCAAACTGGTGGACTTTACTGTTGCTCAAACTGGTGGCTGGACCTAGAACTAAGGAAAAAGGAGCATTGATACCCCACACTCTAAAACAAAGGAGGAACGATTTGGGGGTGGACACACCTGCCTACAGGTTTTATCAAGAGGTGGCTGAAGTAACTCACCCAGCATCTTCTGGAGCACCCTCTTCTCCATAAGCAGAAGACCAGGAACGGAGAAGGAAAGGAGAGGGAGGTGAGGTCGCTGGAGACCTGGGTTGCTGGTTCCTCCTCTTCCTCTCTGTGGAGCTGGATTTGCCCAGGTGCTATCTGAATAGGAACTGGGGGGAGAGGAGAACTGAAGAGTGAAAGGGGACAGAGTAAAGGGACACCTTGGGGCATCCCGCAGGAATTTCCCACGGGTCAGGGCGCCAGGATGAAAAGTGAATGGCCAGAAGTATCCTTGCCCAGGTTCTCCCAAGAGGGAGACCTGCAGGTGAAGAGATCCTACAGGCTGTGGGTCTAGGGTTGGGGAAATTGCTGAGTGGCACGTATCAGAGAAAGAGCTGGAAAAGAAACACATCAGGGAACAGTGCTATAGGGCCGTGATCGGCAAACTGGCTCATGAGCCACATGCGGCTCTTTGAGTGTGGCTCTTCCACGAAATACCACAGCCTGGGCAAGTCTATTTTGAAGAAGGGGCGTTAGAAGAAGTTTAAGTTTAAAAAAAATTGGCTCTCAAAAGAAATTTCAAAAGTTGATATTTGGCTCTATTGACTCATGAGTTTGCTGACCACTGCTCTAGGATATCCCTGTGGTGCACCAATAAGACAGTTGGCATCTATCATGGGAGGCATAGTCATAGCCAGAGAAGAAATGGCCCCAACTAAGAGGGACTTTACTCCAATTTCTCCTTCCTGGCCCATTTGAAAGAAAGAGAGGGAAGTGGGGAGGAGTACAAGGGCAGACCGTGCCCTTCCCAGCTCCCTTGAGCCAAAGCCAGGTCCTGCCTTCGGAGAAGAGAGGTGTTATACTCACATTGGGTAGACCTGCCTAGATGGGGTTGGGCCTTTAATAAATTAAAGTGACAGGAACATTAGAAGATCCGCCCAAAGTGCTATTAATACACAAGAAAAGGAGAATCAACATAATTCATCTAGAAGCAATGATGAGAGAGAAGAAGAAAAAAAAAAACTGGGTTGTTTGTGCTTTCACTGTTTGCTCAATAAGCAAGTTACACGTGTAAACAAAGAAAGTAATACGTCATTGCCAAAATGGTTCTGGCACATTAGATATGACCTTGACTTCTTTGACATTTCTCCCTCGAGAGGGAAGGTCTGTTCCCTGTCTTTGAATCTGAGTTGACCTGGGTCTGCTTTGATCATAGAGCATGGCAGAAGAGACCCTATAAGAGTTCCAAACCCTTTCAAGAGACCTGGAAGCCTTGGTCTCTTGGAACCCTGAGCTGCCATGTAAGAAGTTCACTATCATGAAGTCACCATGTTGGAAGGAAGCCCGAGCTTGCTGCAGAGAGGTGTGGGGAGAGAGAGCGAGATGCTCAGCCAGCCTCCAGTTGTCCCAGGCTCCCAGCCTTTACAGTCATCTCAGCAGAAGTCCCAGGACTCATGGAACAGGACAAGCTGTGCCCTGTTTGATTTCCTAACCTGTAGAACCATGAGATATAATAACAAATTGTTATGCAGCAATAGGTGCTGAATGGAAAACAAGGAAAGTTTGATCAGAGGTGATATTTATGGTGAAGCTGAAAGATAGGAAGGGATTCACTCAAACAGAAGACACCACTGATGCAAACGCCTTAGAAGGGATCCCAGCAAGACTGGGCAAGGGAGGAAAGGACATGAGATGGGATTGATGTTTGAGGTAGGCAAGGGCCAGATCATGCAAGGGTTTGCCAGGTTAGGAGTTTGAATTTTGTTATAATGTGGAAGGAAACCATTGGAGGGTTTCAAGCAGTGGAATGAAGTGACAACACACATATTTTTGGAAGATCACTCTGCCTTCTGTGTGGAGAATAGATCTTGGGGGCACATGACTGTAGGAACAAATACCACTTACAAGGCTATTGGAGAACCAGGCAACCAATCAGAATGGCTTGGTTTAGGAAGAAGTAATGGAGATGGAGAGGGATAGAGAGTTTGTTCTTAATGTGCCACATGGACTGGTTACCCTGATCATTCATTCATTCTTGAGCTTTTTCTGTGTCTACTAGAAGCAAGCAAATTGTAGTAGACACATGAACAAGGGCGCAAAATATATCAGCATATGAAAGTTTCCCCATTTCCCACTTAGTAAAGAAAATCTCATTCTGCAAGAAATAAGGATAATAGGAGAGAAAGCTTAGCTGAAGGGGCTACATTGATCTACCTAAGAACACACAGAGACAAGGCAAGCCGGAAAAGGGAAAGAAAAGATCTCATGGCTCGGTCTAGAGAAAGAGCGTGGGTTTTGTTGATTTAAGAGCTTCTGATGGTTTAAGACAATTTGGAGAGAGAGGTAAGGGTTTGTAAAAGTGATGCTACACTTCTCCCATGTTGAAGTTCCTAATGTTCTTTGAGAGATGCTCACTCAGAGAGCCAGCCCAGAGGAACACCTGGGTGAGCCAGGGTTGCACAGAGAGACAGAAGAAGGCACTGTCTCTGGTCTTACAAAGCTGGTCGAAGGAGTCTGAGATGCACAGATGATTATGAAAGAAGGAAAGAAGACCACATTGCTTAAGCAGATGAAGTGCTGCTAAAGAAATCTGAGAACTAAAGAAATCTGAGATCTCTGAGGTGACTTACACATGGGGGAAATCAGGAAAATCAAGACTGGCTTCACAGAGTCTGTAGCATTTGAATAGTGACTCAAGGGATAGGCAAGATTGTGGGGAGA